TCTTCAAAGTTGAAAACCAAAAGCATTGCTTTTCTTCATACTGAACTAATTCCACGTGCCCTCTGAGTATTTGATTCATGTGATGCCTGGCAATGGTAGTAATGACCATGTTTGTTTACCTTATTGGTAGATGCATATTACAACCACAAAACACATTGGGTGAGTAGTGTGCATTGGTTAGCGCACTGCAATGACATGGAGAGAACCTCATCCAACAGTGGATAGACTCGTCTTATATTTCAATAAAATTAAATCATTAGTACATTTTGCATTCCGTACATTTTATATCGTGCAATGTTATCATGAACGTCCTATTTTATGTAGTTTTCAGTGGTAAATATTAGGGGATGATTTTGCAATGTGGAATATAAATTGAGTGATTTGTGGGTAATCTTTGAAATGTGGCAAATTTAGACAATGACCCCAGTTCAATGGCCTACTCATTTCGAATAACATCATAGGATCTTCCACATTCACTCTGAAGTGGATGGCGCATATCCATGGTTCATCAGCATGGTAGCAGGGCTGGAACTACGGACCTCTGCAATATACACGTTTTCAAGTGACTTTGATTTGCATGAATGCAAATAAACAATATTACTCATTGGCAGTGGCGTCACGAGGGTTGGTGTCACCCAGTGCGATAACTCATGGTGTCACCCTTCATGGACCTCCTCCCATACCAGACCATACAGAATCCTTAGTAATGTTTTTTTGTACTAATGTTACTGGTAAATCGTAATTCCCGTATATCACTGAATGTAATGGCAATAGTAGTGACATAAACAAGTAGCTAAATTTAAATTACACCTTTAAATTACAATATCACACGCACAGCCTAAATGTACTTTTACATAGTTTAATGTGGTTAAAGTGAAAATTCGGTAAGTAAACAACAGAATTCGAAGTAAAAAAAAAAACGTCAACACATTTAAGAACTACGTTAAATCAGATATATATTTGCAAGAGAGTGATGTTTTAAAGAAAATTTTAAAAATATTCAAATGAAAAAAACTGTATTTAAGATTTAAGTTATATTTCTAAACATGTATCAAGAAATATAGCATTTCCCCCCCCCCCCCACTTCATGTTTTAAATTGTCAATTTCTCTATTTAATTATCAAAGAGTTATATAATCAATAATTTTGATTTAAAGCTTTCGTGACTGCAGGGATTCATCTTCTTGGTTCTTTCGATAAAGTCACGTAAAAGGTAAATAATAAAATAATAAAAATAAAGAGACACTGTCTCCCCGACAGACCTGGTCTTCACCTGAGGACGGCTGCTTGCGTTGTCGCCGAAACGTCGTGAGAATTATTTTATTATGTTTTATTTGTATTATTTTATTATTTCCCTTCTACCTGACTTTGTTATACATGTAAGTTTATTATCAATATTAATCATAGAATAATACGTGAAATAGCTATAAAATTGCTTCAATGTAATATTTTTTTATTATATGAATACTAACAACAAAATAGTTTTGTAAAATATTTCTACATTGAATAACAACATTATTAGTTACAACATTATTGTTAACCGAGCAGAAGCCTTTTTTATTTTTCTCCTTTTCCTTTAATTACTACTTCATTTTCAAAAAGTTTATTGTTATAGAGTCACAAATACTAATTACCACAATATTGTAGCTAAAACACTAGAACATTTGACAAAATCAGCGACTATAAAAACACCAGCAGCGACGAAAACAACAGCGCGTGCTTGTAGCGCGTGCAGACGAAACCACGTGATTCGAAGCGTTATTGTAATTGGGTAAAAATTACAGCTCTTACCGGAGCGCATTATAAGGTTCAAAAAGTAAATTGTCATAGAGTTTTAACCTTGTAGGTATATTGATACAGTGCATGCAAGCTGGGCGTACAAAAATGTTTTTTGTTGTTATAACTACAGGTATATAAAAAAAAACAATTCTGCTGAGCCACTACGCAAAAATATGAAAGACAGTCATTTTGGTGTCACCCCCTCTGATGGTGTCACCCGGTGCGCTCCGCACCCCCCACTCCCCTCTAGTGACGCCACTGCTCATTGGTAATGTGAACACTTCGTGTAGTTTGTTAATAATTTAAACCATGAAGTCACTTTTGCAGTCTCTTCCCGTGGGAGTATTTGATCAACTAAAGAACCTGAATGAGTTACGCCTGAGCAGTAACAAGCTCAAGTCTCTCCCGCTGCCAAAACTTTCCAGGATAATAATCTAGGGGAAACAGCCTTTTGGACTCGTGCTTCGTTGCTGCTCCATTTTGATTTAGAGTGTTGAAAGGCAAAACAATTCGTTACATACATTTTCACCGGACAGTCACTTAAGATGGAACATTTCATTTCCACGGATGTCAATGGTTTATTTTCGTGCTACAAAGGTGATACGTTTGATATATTGATGCCTGGAAGGTCGGGCTTTAATGTGCACACCACTGCTTCTGACTGATATAACAATGTCGACTTCCTTTTGTATTTTTTTTTACAATTTTAATTCAATATATGTTTTGTAGTGCTAGCAGCTGGTTTTTTCAAAACGCTATGCAATATCTTCCCGTGGGAGTGTTTGATCAACTGGAAAATCTGCAAGACTTACGCCTGGGCGAGAACCAGCTAACGTCTCTCCCATCGTCAACTTTTTTGCAGATTATAGAAAAATAAGTTCCAGACACTGAGCTAAATACGGTTCCAACTACAGTTTCCAAGTGTCCAGGGTTGACTGAGGCAGCCGGGGAAATTAGCATCTTATGTTTGGATGGCAAAAAATTATTTGTGCAGAGATTTGGTGGTATTTTGTTGAACTTCATCACAGTAAACTGTATAGTTTGACAGTCCTAGGCTGACTGAGAAATATGTCTGGGTTTGGTCTGTGGAAAAGTTGGCAAACCCATATGTATATATGAAATTCAGTGTCTCTGCGCACTGATGCATGCTGTATATACTTTCTTAATATGTTAGATAAGTTAAACATGAAGGTAAAATAACTCGTACAGCAATACCAACATATCTGGAATATGTCCATTCATGTTAATGTATCTACAAGGCATGCTGTATTATTGTGAAATGTGTAAGGTTCATGACAGATCGTTTTTTTTCTTAAATTAAACAAAGAAACATTACGCCAGGACACAATTGCCTACTTGTTACGTCCACTGTGGAGCTGACAGCCCATTTCCACGATTAATAAATCCAGTGTCAATGAGTGTGGTTACCAGGCTCGAACCGCAACCTTCTGCAACAAGCTGCAAGTGGCTGTGTTGCAACCCGAGTGCCACTGTGGTGCCACGACCACGGAGCAACTCTGCAAGCGCCATGATTTCCCCCTACCCCTCCCCCTGAACACACGCATGCACGCAGCACACACGCGTAGTGTCCCAGTGGGGGATCACCTGGCACAAGGAGTTTTCATCCGAAGGGCCCCTAGGTGGGAAGTCCCACGGTTTCCCGGTGCCAGGAGATTGGCCGACCCTCCCAGGACAAATCACATTTCGGCGCCCCTAAATTGGCTTAAAATTGTATGGGCGCACCAAGAATCACCAGGTCAGCTGCATTGAGTCACGCACGACATCGGGGAAAGGGTTAGGGTGAAATATTAAGCAAGCAGAGCAGACAATGAGGGCGGGGGGGATCCTACCGCCACAGACCAAGTACATACACTGGGTGTGTATTCGCCAGCCGGACGCCCTCCCAGATTAAACTGTCTGAGTCAGGGATTAATGGGTACGGGCGCAGAGACAATGGGCCGAAAAATAACGTAACGTAACGCTCCATGTAAGGATAGAAAAACGTTTGAAAATCACAGGTAGGCGCACGATTGGCTGCGCAGGATAACATAAACCTGGATGGGTTTTTTCGAAATCAAGGGGCGTAAAAAGGGAAAGCCGAAACGGGTCAAATGAGTTCTCTCATCTCCGACCACCTGGCCGCCCAGACCGACTCCCTCCCTACCTCCTCGAGCCACTCGCAGCATCCGTGCGACGCTAGCGAGTTCAGTTACGAGACAGCGATAGGTAAAGTCCCTTCTCATCTCCGTCCCTGCGACTTTCAAAGCATCCGTGCGACGCCGCGAGTGCGGCTGCGAGGTACGTAATAGGGCGTGTGAGTATCTGGAGAATTGGGTAGTAATAGGATAGGCTCTGCTCACAGAATATCCCCTCTGGGCAGTGCAGAGTTTTGTGGCGCGAATAAAAACGTTAGCACAGAGCATTGGCGCAGTGTTGTGATTCGAGTTTGTATGGAGCGAGTGTCTGCCGGCGTGCGGGTGATCGCGGAGTCGTTTTAGAACGAGTCTTAGTGCGTGTGCAGGGTAACGGATAACCACCCGCCGGCGCACGCGTGTTCGCAAAGCCGTTTAAGAGTGAGTCTTAGTGCGTGTGCGGGGTAGCAGATAACCACTCGCCAGTGCGCTCATGTTCGCAAAGCCATTTTAGAGCGAGTCTTAGTGCATGTGCGGGGTAGCGGATAACCACCCGCCAGTGCGTGCGTGTTCACAAAGCCATTTTAGAGCAAGTCTTAGTGCGTGTGCGGGGTAGCGCATAACCACCCGCTAGCGCGCGTGTTCACGAAGCCAATTTAGAGCGAGTCTTAGTGCGTGTGTGGGGTAGCGGATAACCACCCACCAGTGCGCGCGTGTTTGCGCAGTTGCTGGAGTGTTAGCTGTGGGGGTGTGCGCCTATTCTTCTTTCTTCTTATCTTATATATAAAAAGTCTCCACGCGCTCGCGCTTGCGGGGGATTTGGCTCTCGGACGGTGGGCTTAACGTATACATTTTATGACAGGCAGCACGCCCTAAGCCCCGCGGTGGGAATAGGCTATTCCGTTTTCCCATCCGTAAACTTTAAAGTAGTTTAATTAACACATTTGTGCCCTTTCTATTATTCATTATTTACTTATTGCGCGACATCGACCGTACCAACTCACGACAGTTGCGTGGGGGGGGGGGGGCGGACCCTGCCAAGTCATGCGTGTTCTCTCCAGCTCACGGGAGACATTTTATTTTACGCGTTTAACATGGAATAAATATCCACATCACGCTGCCAATTTCTCTTCACAGTGTGATGTCGTCTTCCCCCCCCCCCCCCACCACAATGCGTGCAGTTACTGCTATAAAGCCCTTACATATTAATTTAATATTATGACAACGCTTACATGGTATTATTCTGCCTCGGGCAGGGGGATGGTGGGGGGGTAGCGGCCCAGCTCACAGCCTGGCAACGTCTCACCTCCTCCGGCTTGCCAATCTAGGCGAGGACGCGGGCTCTGCACGGGACGACGCGTCACCACGCCAATGTAAAGTACAATTTTCTTGCATCTTTCGCTAAGAACTGAGGTTTATTGTTTACTATTATTAAACAAATAAGTTTACAAATATTAGAATGATAATGTTTGTGTGCAGAAACTACATGTGTGTCCCTAAAGTCGATGTCTGTGTGTGTGAGTCCATATGTCTTTGTGTGCGTGTAAGTCGATGGGTTTCTATGTGTGTGGGTCCATGTCTGTGTGTGAGTCCATGTGTGTGTCTGTCTTTTTCAAACGGACAACGCCCCATGTATGTGTACGTACAATTGTTTGTGTGTGTTAGTACATTTGTGTGCGTATCAGTCGCTATGTGTGTGTTAGTCCACGTGTGTGTAAGTCCATACGTGTGTGTTTCACTCGATGTGTATGTGTCTAAGTGAATATGAGTGTGTGTGAGTCGATGTGTGTGTATGGCTCCATCTGAGTCTGTTTGTGTGTCTGTGTGTGTCAGTCGATGTGTGTGTGTTAATCTACATGTGTCTATCCAAAGTAGATGTCTGTGTGTCACAGTACATATGTCTATGTGTGTGTAGGCCAATGTGTGTGTCAATCTATGTATGTATGTGTAAGTCCATGTGTGTGTGTCTTAGTCGATATGTGTGTGTGTAAGTACATGTGTGTTTACGTCTATGTGTGTGTGAATCCACATATGTCTGTGTGTGAGTCCATGTGTGTGTGAGTCGTTGTATGTGTGTCAGTCTATGTATGTGTGTGTAACTCCATGTGTGTGTATCTAAAGTGCATGTCTATGCGTGTGTCAGTCCATATGTGTGTGTGTGTAAGTCCATATGTTTGTGTGTGTCAGTCGATATGTCTGTGTGTGTCAGTCCATGGGCGTCTGTGTTAGTCGCTTTGTGTGCATGGTTCCATGTCAGTCAGTGTAAGTCAATTTCTTTGCGTGTCTGTAGGTCCATGTGTGTGTGTGAGTGAATGTATGTGCTTTATTGACCTGCTCAAGGCCTATGATACCATCAGTAGGCCTGGCCTCTGGGTTGTTTTTCATGCTTTCGGAGTCCCTCAAACTTTGCTCACGATCCTTAAGGACCTTCATGATGGTGAGCGGCCCCGCGTCAAACTATGTGGCCGTCAGTCAGAGCCATTCCCTCTACACCTTGGGGTATGACAGGGATGTCCTCTGGCTCCACATTATTTAACATATCTTTTGACCCCGTAGTTCGTGAAGCCTTCAATGGCTGTACCCGATTAATTACCATATGGTGCAGATACAATGGGAGGCTGATCGATGCCCGGGTGCGGTCAACGGATGCCTCCCTATTGCTCAACCATGTTATGTATGCCGATGCTCTGGTGATTGCTGCTCACTGCTGCTGAACCTGGAGCTTGCCACTAAGAGGTAGGGCCTTACCATCAGCCCCACCAAAACTAAGCACCTGCCTGGGTATTTTGTACCATCTAACAATCCACCCCCACAGCTCACAATTCGTGATGCGCCAGTTGTGGAGAGATTGCCGAGATTCCCAGACCTGCCCAGTGTGCTCATGACCGGCTCCGGTTTAACTGCAGAGGTCTCACTTCAAATCAGTCGAGCGCCATTATCTTTTCATCGGCTGCGTTACGCTGTGTGGAAGCTACCTGATCTGTCGCTCCGCACGAAGCTTCAGGTCTTCTCGGCCACGGTAATTCCCTCCCTTCTATACGCTTGCGAAACGTGCATCCCCCTAATGGAACATCTTCGCCAGTTAGAAACATTTAGGCTGGCCTGCTAACGATCCATCCTGGGTTTAACCATATATGTGTGTGTGTGCGTCTAACTCGATGTGTTTCTATGTGTTTGGGTCAATGTCCGCAGGCACGCTCACATATTCGCGCAGTTGCCGTCGCGCTAGTCTTTGTGCGTGAGCGGATTAGGGTTTAACTTCCCGGAGGCGCGCGCACATATTTGCGCAGCCGCTTTCACGCTAGTCTTTGTGCATGAGCAGATTAGGATATAACCGGCCACAGGTACGCACGCGTATTCACGCCACCGCTGTAGTGTTACTGTAACTGTGGGGCGTGCGCATAGTAGAGTATAATCACCAGTGGGAGTGCCCCCGTGCTCGCCGCCACATGAGCATTAGAGGTGGTGTGTGCAGGCGTGTGTGGAATAACCCCATGCGGAGGTGAGCCAGCCATTTAACTATGTCCCTCAGAGAGGGCGCTAGCGCGGGGGGGCCGGTCGGCGGGGGCCCGACGGGAGCCGATCGACGTGGTGGAGGAGGGAGTGGAGGGGGCAGACGTCGCACCCCACCTGCCCGGCGAGGGCGGTAGGGTGGATGCCGGCCACGCGCGAGCCGGGCTCCGAGGGCCACGTGGCGGTGCGTCTCTTGCAATCTGTCTGCCCACTTCCCGTTGCCTGCCAGCAACGGGGAGTGCTTGTGAACTGAGAAAAGTAAATAAATGGACCAACCATCAGGCCAATTGGCTCGGTGGTTGGAATCGTTACAGGAATTTTCCTTCAATGTCACGTACCGCAAGGGTGCTCGCCACGCCAACGCGGACGCGCTCTCCAGGTTACCACCCATTCCCCCGTGTGCTTGTCTGACGGGTAGGCGGCGCTGACCCTCAGAAAACGCAATGTGTCCAAGAGTAGCCCACACCCACTTCGGTGGGCGACGTTCAGCGCTTCATTGGGTTTGCATCCTACTATCGTCCGGTTTGTTAAGAACTTTGCCACACTGGCTAAACCACTGCATGTTCTGACGGGCAAAAATCAGAGGTTTAAATGGGGTCCGGAGGAGGAACGCTCTTTTCACTCGCTTCGGGATCACCTCGCCACGGCGCCTACGCTTGACTACCCAGACGTTTCCCTGCCGTTCATCCTTGACACGGATGCTAGCGATATCGGCATCGGGGCCGTTTTATCGCAACGTAAAGACGGAGTTGAGCGAGTGGTTGCATACGGCAGCAAGGTTCTGTCCCCTGCAGAAACACGATATTGTGTGATGAGGCGGGAACTTTTGGCGATCGTACATTTTGTCCGGCTGTACCGGCCCTACCTGTATGGGAGGAAATTCCTCATTCGCATTGATCACGCGGCTTTGCAATACTCGTTAAAATTGGACCAACCATCAGGCCAATTGGCTCGGTGGTTGGAATTGTTACAGGAATTTTCCTTCGATATCACGTACCGCAAGGGTGCTCGCCACGCCAACGCGGACGCGCTCTCCAGGTTACCACCCATTCCCCTGTGCGCTTGTCTGATGGGTATGCACCGCTGTGCAGCGCCGCCTACCTCGCCCTGTCCGGTTATGGGAGCGATGTCGAACGAGGACAGCCAGGAGGTACCAGTGGGCACTGATGATACCCTGCGGCTGCCGCACTCGGTGTGGCTACGCGAGCAGGAGGCCGATGCCTCTCTGGCTTCGATGCGGAAACTGATCGGGAAACCGAGAGCTCATTTGGCGGGATGGAAATGGCAGATGTTCCGGGGCCGGGCGGGACTATTGATGTGTACTGATGGATTGTCTGACCGATCATGCCTGGTTGTGCCTACATCCCTTCGCCATGACCTGCTCCGCTCTCTGCACGCTGACAAATTAATGCACCTCGGCGTGCAGAAGACTTTGGCCGCAATGCAGAAAGATTTCTTTTGGCCCAGCATGACGGCAGACGTTAACGACTTTGTCCAGTCATGCCATGATTGTGCGAAGAGGAAACCGCCTCGGAAACATTATGTGCCACCACTACGTTCCATTGAGGTATCCCGTATCAATGAATTAGTCGCTCTGGACATCCTGGGGCCGTTCCCTCCATCGGCTAGGGGCAACAAATACCTTTTGGTCGGGGTAGAATATTTTTCTCGATGGCCTATGGCCTGGCCTCTGCCTGACCAAACGGCCGCATCCATCACCGATGCTTTCTTGAATGGTTATGTCATGGATAAAGGAGCACCCGAGAGGCTGTTCACAGATCAGGGACGTAACTTCTCCTCCAAATTGCTCAAGGAGGTTTGCGATGCGCTGGGTACCAAAAAAATCCGCACTTCGCCTTACCATCTGCAAACGGATAGCATGGTGGAACGATTTAACCGCACCCCTTCGGCTATGCTTTGTCACACGGTGAGTGAAAAACAGACCGATTGGGACTTGCAAATACCGGGCGTCCTAGCGGCCTACCGCATGGTTCCGCACGCGTCCACGGGATATTCGCCATTTTTCCTGATGTATGGTCGTGAGAATTCACCCTCCATTGATGTGCAACTGGGTACGCCGAGTAAACAAACGTCCCTTTCCTTGCCTGATCACGTACGGGACTCGCTTGCACTGGTTACAGAGGTGCGAGAGGCCGCCAGATGTGCGACGGCCCATACGCAGGCAAGGAACGAGAGGTGTGCGCGTCGATCGCGTACTCACATGCCCTGGTTGGTGGGCGATCTGACATGGCTCCACTGCCCTCAGGTGCCAGCGGGCACATCCCCTAAACTGCACAGGCCTTGGCGGGGGCCTGTGACGTTGGTGGACATTCGGAACCCACAGAGTGTTCGCGTCGGTGGTACGTCCATTCGTCGCGACTCAAACCCTATGTTGACCCGCGTGCCGACCCCTCATCTCCACTTGTTGACCTGCCGGGGTCTGCTGTGCCGAATATGACGCTTGCCTTGCCCGTTGATCCCCAGCGGGACTGTGTTGTGCCACCCGCAGATGAACAGGTTTTGAGGGCTGATGAGACCCCCGCCGTCCCTCCTCCAACGGGACCTACCCCGGATACGACCGAAACCGAACATTCTCCTTCTTCTTCTTCACATCAACCACTTCCTGCAGATCCGGCGGCAAGGCGACCATGCGCAGGAAGCAGAGAGGGTCCCGCGGCGCGTACGTGGTCGAAATCTCTTCCGTTTCGATAGCATTGATTGCCTTGCAGTCCCTTCCCTGTTGTTACTGCGCTGCAGGGGCGCCCTAATGTATGTCTGTTGTTCATGGGTGATTTTGTTTTGTTTCAGCGCATAGACGCCTGTTTCACCCCTTTCCTTGTTAATGCGTCTTAGACGCCCTAATAAGCAACTTTATGGGATCGGCTTGTCACCCTTTTCCCAGCCGAGACGGCTGACTTTTTCACCGGGGGGGGGGGGGGGGGGGTGATGTAATGAGAGCCTATGTCCGGCTCACGTGGTGATTGGCTCTGCCGGTCCTGCTCTACAGCCAATGGGGGGAGAGCCTGGGAGCATGGTCCTGGCGTGATCGAGGGATGTCAGCTAGGATGATTGGTTCTGCTGCTCTTGGCCTCAGCCAATGGGAAGACAAGTCAGGGGCGTGGTCCCGGGAGTTGATGGAGGAATCTGGAACATTCAGCGCAGGCTATTAAGGATTGGCTGGAGCGTACCACGTGACCCAGGCATTAAATAAGGGAAGAGCCGAGGGACACAGGGTCAGACAAGGAACGAAGAGAGAGAGGGGCCACGCGCGAGCGGGGCTCCGAGTGCCATGTGGCGGTGCGTCTCTTGCAATCTGTCTGCCCACTTCCCGTTGCCTGCCAGCAACGGGGAGTGCTTGTGAACTGAGAAAAGTAACTAAAAGGACCGATTCCACATACATACCACAAGCCGTCTCCAGAGTGTTATTACACATGGAAGAAAAACATACATATTTTCAAGTGAGTGTGTTATCAGCATATTAAAAGCGTAAACAATATTGTCAATATAAATCAGTGATTTAGTATGTTAGTAATATCAATCACGAATCGCCTGTGCAGTATCTTCCCGTGGGAGTATTTGATCAACTTAAGAATCTGAATGAATTACGCCTGGACTTCAACAAGCTAACGTCTCTCCCATTGCCAAGACTTTCCAGGATAAGAATCTTGGGCAAACGCCTTTTGGACTCGTGCTTCGTTGCTGCTGAATTTTGATTTAAGATTCTTAAATGCATCAATTACACATTTTATCTGGACAAGGCCTTGAGATGTCACATCTAATTTGCAAGGATATCCGGGGTATATGTTTATCTACAAAGGTCTTAAGTTTGATATTGTATAGGTATGACTATGATTATACAAACTCCACTCTCTTATTGTTCAGCCAGTCTTCACAAGACAACCGTTATTGACTTCCAACAAAGAGGTTCTCATTCATCAAACTTGGATGGATCATGGGCTCGCTTGGTATACAGGAAATAATGGGTTCGATCCCAACCCTGACGCCTGTATATTTTGAGTTTGCATGTTTTCCCCGTGGTCACGTGGATGTTTCTCCAGGTCCTTCGGTGTTTCACTCCACATTTAGAGTATTTGGTTGCTATACATTTCCACATGATCAGCCACTTTGTTGAGCTTTCATATGTTGCCAAGTCGCTTCTGAAATATAACTATATAGCTCAAGTGGGTCTTACCTGGTACAAATAAAAAAAAGAGCTTTAGTTTTTATCCCGACTGTCCTGGGCTGGCTCCACCACTGTTGTCATTTGGTGCCTTGGCTCCCTCCGGGGAGAAAGACATGCAAACTCCAAATATACAAGCGTCGGAGTTGGGATCGAACCCACAACCGTTTGTATACCAGGCGAGGTAGTTAACATATCGCCACTGTGGCGGAGGGACAAGGGCAACCAAGAACAAGAGGGATGGAGGCAATGAGCCATCATGGATTGGGGATGGAGAAGTGAGCACTGGAAAGCCTGCGGGTCAGTGGGGATATGGCTGGAGACGTCAATGAGGATGAAGATACAGGGAGTGGAAAATTGTTGATATCTTCCGGGAGGGGCTATAGTACAAGTATAAAAGCCAGAGGGACTGAAGGGAAGGGGTGTCTAGGTGAGTGGTGTGAATGAGCGTGCCAGGTCTATGAAGAGAGAAAGAGTGCCACAGTGGAGGGCGAGAGTTTGTCAATGGCGGTGAAGAGAGAGAAACCAGGGTGGAGGAGGTTAGAGGGACTGATGGTGTGGTGAAAGTACAAGAAGACATCGAGTGGTGGGTTGATGCAGAGAGGATGAGTGGCAGAATATTTAAACCACCTCGAGGCCGTGTGAACGAAGTGTAGAGTTTAGGATAATGTTTGTGAGTTTACAGTAGTCCTGCCGCCCTACATTTAAAGAGACGCCTGCGAGTCATCCCTGGTCGTTGGCGCGGTCATTAAATAAACGAACTTGAGCGGAGAGTAACGTGATGGAGCCGGTTTGGGGATGACTATATTACGGGACTTACAGTTAGAGTAGTGAGGGGGGAGTAGGCGTCGATTATTGAATGTATGTGGGGTCTTACATAGAGGATTGGAGCTGTCATGTGCATAGTGCAGCTGGGCAGGTTTGAAGAAGTGGGGGCGACAGGGAGGGGTTTCACTAAACTAAACTTTTAATTTTTACCAGGTAAGGCCCACGGAGCTATGTAGCTCTTTTCAGAAGCGACCTGGCCACAAGTGATTGCACAACGAAGTGGTTTATCACGCGGAAATGTATTGCAGCCAAATATTCTAAACGAATTTAATTCTAAATGTGGAGGGGGAAAACGAGAGGACCCGGAGAAAAATCCATGTGACAATGGGGAGAACATACAAACTTCAAATATAGAGCAGGCGTCATGGTCGGGGTCGAACCCACGCCCTCCTGTATAGCAGGCGAGGTAGTTAACATCTCGCCACTGAGATGGTTTAGACAGGACCTCGGATGCAAGGGACCGATAAGGCCTCGGAGGAGGCTCTGATAAACATCAACAGCCTCATTGACAATAAGATTCAGAAAATTTAAGATGTGATCCGAAACAATGTCACACGAATATAAGCCACCATGAACAGAAGACTACTGCTTCTAATGTATAACAATGTTTGTTTCCTTTTTTTATATAAATGTATATTTTAAATGTTTAACAAGTATATCATGTCGTGTTCGCAGATGATATCGTCAAATAGGTCTGCAGTCTCTTCCCGTGGGAGTGTTTGATCAACTGGAAAATCTGCAAGACTTACGCCTGAACACTAACCAGCTACAGTCTCTCCCATTGTGAAGACTTTGCGGAATATAGAACAACTGGTTTTCGATGCCTGCTTCTTAGCAACGAGGGTTGCAAAGTGTCCCAAGTTTGACCCAGAGAGTCCGGAGAATTGGCATCTGTGTTCGGACGGAAGGAAATGATGTCCCGAAATCTGCTGGTGTTTTGTTGGACTTTCTTGCACTGGACTGCACCGTTTTTATAGACATAAGGTTGACTGAAACATCTGGGTTTGTTCTCCAGTGGATTGCGTAGCAACCCCATCTCTCCGACTTACAATGTAAAATACAGTAATTTTGCACTTTATTTATTGAATAACATACGCAATAGACGTTTGCACATACTGAATGTTGATGTGGCCAGGCCTATTTGCTGATTGCAGCCCTTAAGGAGCAAAGCCTTTGTTTCCACATCAATCTATTTTGAGATACATTTTCGTTACTGGATAATGCAAACCATCGTCCCATTCTATCCAGACATCACTTTATAATATCCCCTGATGCACTTGAATATGAAGGCATAGATAGTTTTGCTGCCTATGATTTCACACCACATTTTTATTTGTACTTTTTAAATAACTGCGCTGGTAAAATGTGCAGAGTGGTAGTAGCTCTTCAGCGTGAGGCAAATCACCTTGGCATGATTTTTAGGGGTTTTTTTGCTTGAGGGTGATGATTGAAGATGGTACCTGATGAAGTTGGCGCTAACAGTGATAGCGAATAGCATGGTACCTTTCTTAACCAGTATCAAAGTATCAGAAATAAGAGTAGGGTTCACCCTTTCTCGCAATAAAACAGGTGTTAAGATGTCCAAACCTTTTGCAAGGAATCTGTTTCAAAGACAATGCATATATTATCAAAGCTGTTTGTTTGCAGGTTTGATTCTTTGCAAAAGGTTTCTAGTTGGTGTTTGAACATCTTAACACCTGTTTTAATGCCAGAAAGAGTAAAACCTATTCTGATTTTTCATACAATGATAACGAATGTAATAACGATTACAATAGTGACTGATAACGGTGGTATCTATGACAATTGTGCTGATAATTATAATGATAATGAAGGTAAAAATAACAATGATATTGGTGATAACGTTGTTGAGAATGTTGATGGTGCTATCATTGCTCGTGACTGCGATGTTGGGATGATGTATCATTGGCATATGAAGCACCTGTTTAATGCACCTGTGTAGGAGTCACACCGATTTAGCTCGATCGTGGGAATTCGTATAGTCAGCATGCCGAAGGGAGAGGCTCCAAGTTGGGCTCTGCTGCTGACGAGGTCAATACCCCCCCCCCCCCCAAGCAAGCGTTGAGGTCGAGGTACTGTGTCAAAGTGTGATATGGTGTAAGTGTGAATAAATGGACGTATTGGCGGTACACCGGTGCATCAGTTTTTTCTTGCTGTGGTTGTTCCACCTGATGACGATTGCTTGTGTTGCGATCGAAACGTCGTGATCTATTACACTGGTCAACACACATTTTTCTGGCATAAGGTATTCCAACGGTTATAATGTAATTTTGGGGTGCTGATTCCATATCTGGCATCAGTTTTTGTCTATCACATCAGGTTTTTGAGATATCAAACATTGCATTTTCAATTAAAACTGCAGAAGAAAAATATTAAATAAATGTGGATATCTACATAAAATGATATTATAAACACACTATCCTAAAAATACAGCACCATATTTTAACACTAAAGCAGTCACTGACTCGCAACAACTTGCAATCATAAGTGACAGAGCTAATTTCGGGTAAAATCAATGAAAATGGGGTATGCCGATAGCATAAAAATGAGATGTGATAGAGCAAATCTGAGATCAGATTTGGAATCAGCACCCTGAAATTAGTCTAAAACAGCTGCAAAAGTCCAGGCCAGAAAAAAAATGTTTATTTTTTGTTGACCAGTGTTATTTTTCTACCTACGTGACTTTACCGAACGAACCAGAGTAAGGGAATAATAGTCTTCATTTCCATTCATATTTGTTTTTGGGTTAGGCCACGTGGTGGTTTTATGATAACATTCTTATCGTTATCTCTCTTTCACCGACAAGATTGACAAAGACATTCTGTGTCTTGTTTATATGTTGCAAATGTATTAAACAAGGTACTGACCGAAAAGTTTCTCCTCACCAGTGGCTAGAGACCTGTCACGACCTAATTGAACGTCAGCGTGCCTAGACGTTTTACTCAAACTAGAAAGAGCTTCATCACATAATGCATTTTATTGTAAACGTGTCCACACGCAAAACTAAAAATCATATACAGTACAATGCAGCTAAATGTTAATGGTACAATGGTGTTGAACTAAAACTAAAGGTTCAGAAAAAGTCAATGTGAGTGTAGAATTAGATCCATGAATTATTTAGAATTATTATGCTTGCTTACCCAGGAAAGCCTCACTGAGTCTCAACACTCTTTTTCAGGAGTGTCTTGCCAAATTTCCACAGCAAAGGGAGATGGTGCTACGTGTCATCCCAATTGAATAACTTACTTTTCAAATGTGGGATATTTCGTCAATATCAATACATTTTTTGTTTACTTTCATATGGGAGGAAACTGGAGAACCCAAAGAAATCCACGCAGAACAGGGAGAGAACGTAAAAATAACACGGAAAGGTGCCCGAGTTGGATAACGAACCTAGGTCCTTCCTGTGAAGCACCGGTGTTACCATTGCGCTCACATGAAAATTGAAAAAGATGCTAAACCCTGTAATCAGCTTGAGCAAGTGTTTCACCATGCCTTCGTGCAAAACAGCAACACTGCAGTCACAAGAAGCTGGCCACTGTTCCCACTGGGATCCCTGCAAGCACCGAGAGACTAGAGCTACAGTACAACCAGCTGGCAAGATCGCGCGTGTGCCGACCAGGGGCTTTGAGTGCCCAGTGCTAGAGGGTTGGGGGGCACAGATACACTTGAAGGCACTGCAGCGTTAAGTGGCATGCTGTTGTGTGGTTTTACTTGGAACGCCAAGGCATCTGGCTGCATGACTTACTTTAAAGTGTCAGTTTTGTGCCAGATAAAAGGGTAAACACCCTATTATTATTATTACTTTGAAGTCTCAACTTTAACGACACTTTCCTCACATCGTGGTGACTTGTATACGATTAAAAAAGAAATTAAAGTACAGGGACAGCATATTTTAAGTAAATACTCTGCATGACATGTATCAATACATTTATCCACAATAAAGTGGATACATGTATGAATACGGCGCCGCGGTGGCGAGATGTAAACTACATCGCCTGATATACAGGAGGTCGTGGGTTTGACCCGACCCTGACGCCTGCTGCATATTTGTAGTTTGCATGTTCTTTGTGTTTAGAGTATTTAGCCGCCATACATTTCGACACGATAAGCCACTTCACTGAGATATAATTTGTGATAGCCAGGTCGTTTCTGAAAAAGCGCTAATACCTCAGTGGTCCTTACCTGGTAAAATAAAAACAACGTTTTTTACTAGTCGTAACTTAGATAGAACGATGTTTTGTCAAATAAATTAATACATTCCTCATTATCATTCGTCGACAATTACCAATTACAGTAGCAGTTATGAAACTCATGATGGCTAAAGTGGACTCCACCACTCTTAAGAAAAGTCACGGGTGAGTTTCCTCTGAAGTCATCTGATAAACCAGCGGCTTCCCCATGAAAACTGTAAAGAAATATTGCAAATAATTATTGTTAAATCGTTAATTTCGTGCGAATCTTCAATTATTTTCAAGAGGGAGCCCTTATGCAAAGCAAGAGATTCGATAAACCGCATATACGGTAATCACGATAAATGTAAGACTCAGACTACGGATACTCGGAATTTTTGCAAAGCCTACAGCTTTTCAGATAACACTGGTATACAATTTCTTTTAGACGTCGTCTGCTTCAGAGATGGAATGTGATGTTTATTATGGATTTTTACGTGCTGAATTAAAATATGGCAATTTAAACAACTGATTGGCTACTGTTCCCAAGATATTTAAGTTTTTTAATTGTACGTCTAAGTATAGTGTAGATAGAGTATTACTCATAAATTGTAAACCTAGGTCTTTTCATGTGTTTATGGTTACTTTACATGATAACATGTCACCTGTCCTGTTCATTTAACACTTAAAAAATCAGCAAAAGGGTTATATAAATCAAATGTATTATAAAAAAGGCAAAAAACCATTATCTATATATATAAAATCGCAAATCTGTCTGTCTATCTGTCTGTCTGTGTGTGTGTCTGTGTGTCGCCGGACCATACGCAGTTTCATTGGACGGCGGTTGCCCCTGGCAACGGGTAGCACGCTTTCGCCGCGGGGTGGACGCCATTTTTAATTCCCGTTAAAATAGGCGCACGCATTAACACGCGACTCTGAGGTAAATTCATCAAAGTTTCACGTCCTCTTCACTCCCCCCCCCCCCACCACAATGTGTGCAATTACTATTATAGGGTCGGTAGATTATAAAATTATAGCGATTAGACAGTATTATTGTAGCGCGGGGGGGGGGGAACGGCACCCGTACCCAGCTTCAGCAGGGTGGACAATTTAGGCGAGGCCGGAGGCTCTGCACGGTACTAGGCCTCGACACCCCACCACCCTACAGCGGATCGGCGCGCCTCACTAAAACCCTACAACAGATCGGCACGCCTCACACAAACCCTACAACGGATCGGCGCGCCTCACTAAAACCCTACAACAGATCGGCACGCCTCACACAATCCCTACAACGAATCGGCGGGCCTCACTAAAACCCTACAGCGGATCGGCGCGCCTCACTACAACCCTACAACGGATCGGCGCGCCTCACTAAAACCCTACAACGGATCGGCGCGCCTCACACAAATCCTACAACGGATCGGTACGCCTCACACAAATCCTACAACGGATCGGTACGCCTCACACAAATCCTCCACCGGATCGGCGCGCCTCACACAAACCCTACAACGGAAGCGTAACGCATTGTAGTGTCGTGGTTAGCGCGCCGCGCTACGAACCCGGCGACCCGAGTTCCATTCCCGCTCACGGCCACCACCGGTGACGATTATTTGAACCGGTCCTGGGCCTCCCCTAGGTCGACTCAGCCTCGAAACGAGTAACTGGTGTGGCGTATGAACATCGCCACTGGGGAGACAAAAGCGGCCGGGCGTGGTGGCTCCAAGCCCCGGGCGAAGCCGGGTAGTACAGCTAGTGTACATATAAGTACAAAGTTTAGTCCTTATTTAGTATTTACTCGGCGCTTCTTGGCTTGTCTCATGTATTTATTGAATGGAGCATATATTGTCACTGTCCAGCAATGGTCTGCAAGCATTGATGGGCTCCATTTGCCCTGATAGCGTTTCTCCTTTGTTGCAATGTCCTGGTGAAGTCACTCGCCATGCTCGTCACTCACTCCTTCGCAGTTCTGTGGGAAAAAATCTAGATGAGAGTGCAAAACATTTATCTTTAGTGACATGCAGCAACCAAGGCCTTGAGGAGGTTTCCAACCAACTCCCTGTAGTTGTCTGCCTTGTTGTTTCCGAGAAAATGTGTTGCCACTAACTGGAAGGCTTTCCATTCCGTTTTTTCCTTGCCAAGCAGTGCACTGTCAAATGCATCATCTCGAAGAAGTTCACGAATCTGAGGACCAACAAAGACCCCTTCCATTATCTTAGCTTCACTTAACCTTGGAAATATTCCACGGAGGTACTTGAAAGCTGCTTGTGTTTTGTCCATGGCCTTGACCAAGTTAATATTCTTAGGTTTTTTCGGTAAAGTCACGTAGGTAAAAAATTTTAATTAATAAAAGTAAAATAAAAATCACGACTTGATACAGCAATCGTGCTGTGACGGTTCCACCTGAAGACGGAAGCTTGTGTTGCCTCCGAAACGTCGTGATTTTTATTTGATTTTTATTTTACTTTTATTAATTATAATTTGTTTACCTACGTGACCTTACCGAAAACATCTAAGAATATGAATCCTTGCAGTCACGAAAGCTTCAAATCTTGACAAAGTTCTTCATCAGACCCAGCTTGATGTGTAAGGGTGGTAGCAAAATCTTCCTTGATTCAACAAGTGGTGGATGCTGAACACTTTTACTCCCAGGCTCCAATGACTGTCGGAGTGGCCAATCTATCCTGATGCAGTGGGGATCTCTCGCACGACTATCCCATTCGCAGAGAAAACAGCAGTACTTTGTGTATCCAGTCTGCAAACCAAGCAAGAGAGCAACAACCTTCAAATTGCCTCAAAGCTGCCACTGATGTTTGAGGTGCATAGTTTATGCACCTCAAAAGTTGTTTCATGTTTTCATAGGTTTCTTTCATATGGACTGCATGACAAACGGAAATTGATGGCAAAACATTGCCATTATGCAACAAAACAGCTTTAAGAATCATCTTCG